TAATATTAATAATAATTAGAATTAAAAAATCAATTCGCATCCTGTTGAATGTGTGTTTGAAGTAGGTAATTAAGTAGCTTGGTTAAATGCAAGAATAATAAAATATATCTCGTGTATTTATAACTACCGTGTGATTTGTGTGGTTTGTGTAGTGGCAGTATTTATTATAACACATACGATATTTATAAATGCAGTATTCATAATTTAACTAAATTATTTTAATACCTACATTGTTGTACATTTTAGTCTTTAAATATCTAATTGAACTGCACGAAACATATATGTTCTTATGCTAGGATGTTCATTGTTTTTGGTAATTTCGATTTACTCGAACTCGCGGTTTTTCATATAATCAGACCTATTTGTTTTTTCTCCGGCATATCCATGTGTTCACACCATAGTTATGGTTCATATACTCAAAATTTTGTATATGTTTTGGGTAATTAAAGTGTGTCGCGCTGCAAGTGTATTTTTGAACTCGCTCTGTCATCTCCATCTCGGCGCTTATAATACATAGGCCAGGTGCAGAGGCGACACCGAAAATCGCATGTATACTTATAGATTACGCCTCTGGTGGAAACAGAGTGTACATATATACGCATACACGTAATGTAAATATAAAGACACAAATCCGTACTGTAACTTGGGGTACTGAATGGCCCAACCAGTCACTATAAACTCAGTCGGTGACCGCCACTTAACAGTGAGGACGAAATATCAAAAATGTTCATTTGTTATACGTATCATATACTTGGTGCGTGTAATTTTGTAAAACTATGGTATATAACATGTGTATATAGTTTAATTAAGTAAGAATTTTGAGAGATCATCCGCGCTACTATGGCCATCAGCTTCGCAGAGAAGTTCAAAACAAACCCAGAGTTTGCAACTAAATCACACCAGCTTGTACCCGAGGCATTAAAAAACGTATAGATATTATAGTTTTCATTGAAGCGCGCACTGGCCAACGGCGACACCCTTGAAATTCGCGGTGTGCAAGCGCAACGTATATTTTTAGACACGCGACTCTCTCTCTCTCTCTCTCTGGCATACATGCTAGTACGGTGGTGCACTCATTTTCAAGTTGATTTGGGCACGAGTACTTGACCCCCTGCACTGTAGTATATGTGGTATATATTGAAACAAACAAAAAAACAAGGAGGGATTGTGAGGGGCGAAAATTTCCTAGATGATGGCAGAGCTCGAATTAACTCGTAGCGATTACGAATCCGAGCACCCCAGCTTGCGATAGTTGTGTTATACACATGCATGTTAACAACTTTCTTTGTGACGGTGGTGGTATGTTTGCGAAAAGCGGGATGTTTGCTCGTTCCAAGTGCGCGTGCCAAGAGACGCGAGCTATTAGGATAATGTTGTTAAGATTTTTTAACGACTCCCTCCCTCGGGTGCGCGTATTTGTAGCCAGCTGTCACATTTCTCCTACCTTTCCTCTTTCTCTCGAGCATTTTCGTATATATCTGTTGGCTCTCTCGAATAAAACGCGATGTAACAATTCATTGATGTATGCACACGTAATGCCTTCTTTATGACTTTTCAAGTTAAAAAATAGCTAAATGTAAACATGAAAAGAAAAAAAAATTTCTTTCGATATTCTATACCTTTGAAAATGCAAACCAGCACGTTTTGATATTAAGTTGTCTAGCATTGTAGTCTTGAAACTTAATTAGGTACCGATACATGCATACAGAGTTCATTACCTACTTATACTTGGACCATATTTAAGAACAAAAATTTTTTTTTTTACTGACAAAATAGTCGTTTTACGAATAATAATATATTTATGTTTTCCTCTGGTGAGTAATAGATCAGTTTTTAAGTTATAAGGAATATTTAGTATTTCAATCCTTATAAAGAAAAGGATTTTTTTTTACATGTATTTTCTCTTTGGGCAATTTAAAACTACTCATTAAAAAAAACTTGAGTAACACAAAACTGATGATTAAATAAAAAAAAAAAAATTAATTATAAAAACGTTGATAAAAAAACGAATGTTCTTTCGCTAATTAAGATAGAACTCGATACTGTTTTTCCAATCGTTGATTTGTTTTTTTTTTTTTTTCTTTTTTTTTTGGTATACGTAAAAGTAAAAAATCTTACTTCATTTTTCGACGATCGTCAAATCAAGCTGGGAACTTGAATATCACAGTTCGGTATACGCACACCAAAACACCCACTTTTTACCGCAACACTGCTGCCGATGGTTAAAATATATATATGTATAAATATTTTTTCAACCACAAAATTATATAAGACTACAATAACCGATTTTTCCGACCCGACACGCACAGTTGGCTAAGCAATCGGTACAGCATGGAAAAAATCTATATGCGTTAAAAAACGACAACAAACAACATCAGCAGCAGCGAACACCCGCACGCAAGAGCGTACAGTCGAGCCGTAACCCCGCGACTGAAAGAAGAATAAAAAAGCCTCGGGCCTCTTTGGAGGAGGAACCCGCTAATAACTTTAAGAGCCGTGTCCAACTTATCGTTTCGGCGTTTTATTTTCGTCGCACCTTTTTTTTCTCCCCTCCCCCGTAAGCCCGAAACATCCGAACGGCCGAGCGAGCCTTCGATGAGAGCCGCGTGCATATATATACATCACTCACCTCTATTGTGATACAACGCGCCACCGCTTTTTCCTCTCTCTTATACACCGCCCACGCGTGCAGTCGCAACCGAGTGTGTTATCCTCCAGTGCGTCCCGATCGGATGACGGATGCTGCGCGACTAAGTGCACAAGCCGACGAGCGTCGGTGCTGGGGGAAGGGACTCGTGGCCGTCTAAGCCTTTTAAGGAGGTGGGTTTACTCATATATACCTACAAGTACCACAAGGCCTCTCTGAATGCACCGTCAAGGATTTTTCTGTTTTCCGTCGTTGATCTCCTCTGGAGCCGCGAGCGAAGGTTTCTTGCACGCACGCGTCGACGCGGGGACTGGCTCGCGATATGACTGGACACGAGGTGGGAGAGATCCTCTGTTTTACCTAAGAGAGACGACGTTTTGGCAGACAGATGTATTTGTATTTGCTGTCCGTGCGAAAATGTATTGCACGTGATGGTAGAGAAAGAGGTGATGGAGAGAGTTTTTTGATGCGCCGCGGGGGGTCTGCCAGAATCGGTGTAAAGGAAAAGACGGATCATTGCCAAAGCCGAGTGCAAATTAAAAAAAAAAAAAAAGAATTTCAAACTCAATGGAGTGCAGATGACGAACGCCCGAGGCGGCGATTACTCTCTTTAAAACGTGTAATTGATCTGCCGATTGACGAAAATTATCAATTACCTCGCCCGACTATTACTGCAGTGCATGTATATATAGGTGTGTATACATACCGTATCTTTGCTTTTTCCCACTCTGTATACAAACGAGCTTACGATTGATCGTCAATGTCTGCAGCTTTTGGTGTTTGTTTTGGAGATTCCGGCGATGCGGTGATACAGTTTCTACGCATATATATGTATATAGGTTTATTTGCCTTTTGTTTCGTAGGCGTCTAAAAATAAGTCGCACGGAAATTATCGGCTGTCCGTGAGTCACGAGCTCGTGGGTTCTTTAGGTGCCTTTTTTCTCCAAATCTTCGAGGTGACGAAAATTTGTCTCTATATCTATCCCTTGAGCGCAGGAATGAATGCACCTGCAGTACTTGTGTATATATATATATATACTTACCACGGCGACAAATTTCTCGGTTGAAGAGCCAATACTTACGAGTACACCATTGTTTTTGTTTTGACAAATCGTAGGCACACTTATTTTTTAAATCTTTTTATTTTGAAGACAAGTTTCGTAAGATGATGTCGTATATGAAACGGGTGAAAAATGACAGTTGAGAAGTAGTCGTTTCTCAAAAATAGGGACGCTTAATTCCTCGACTACTTTGTTTTCTCTCTTTTTTCACGATTTTAAAATAGTTTAACGACTACAAAAAAGAAAAAAAAAAAAAAAAAAAGTTATTTGTCTTCGCGGTATTGAAGAAAAAGCCATCAACGCTGAGTGTGTATCGACGCATCGCGGTTGTTTTGATGAAACTCTCCCGAAATTATTTCCTCGGTGGTGCGAAGAACCAGAGCGCTCATTAGGCACAGAGTTGAAGTAACGGGCAGTTACAGCTTCGAAAGCGAAAGAACGAGGGAAAAAGAGGGGCCAGGGAGGATTGAAAAATGAGAAAACGTCAGTTTTCGTCGCATAAACACGCCGCCCGACTACCGTAGCTATATTTAAGTACAATAAGGTGTGATGAACTTGTTCCACTTTACGCTTTTGCAAACTCATACTTGTATACACATATATATATACGCAGTTTCCCGTGAAATGGTTGGATTTTTTATTACGAGTTAAAAATTCATTTTTATTTCGTCATTCGCTCGTTTGATTATTAATTTTTTGGCTCTCCGACAAACAACGATGATTAAATGCGTATCGCGTTATTTTTGAAACACCGACAATTCTGAGAAAGTCGGTCGAGTAGCCAAAAAATCGTACTCCAAATGAATCACACGAGGAATCACATCTATTCGTTTATACGATTTCTAAAGTTCTTGTTGGCCCAGCCGGTATAGAGTTGCGTGGGTCAAACAAAAGTGTGATCGTCATGACAAAAAGCATCTCCAAAAAAAAAAAAATACGAGGCAAGCATCGACCGCGGAATCGCCATCGCAGCGCGGCTCTCCTTTATTTTTCCGGACACCCGTAAAGTTTAGCGCTCGCCGAGGCCTCGCAGCCCCAGCCAACATCGGCGCAAAAGCGCGAGAGAGAGAGCATTGGCACAGAAAGGGAAGAAGAAGAAGAAGAAGAAGCAGAGAGCCAAAGCCAGCGTATTTAGGTGGATACGGCGGACTTAATTTTAGACCCCCCCGGTCTGACCCGTGCGTATGTAATACACCTATCCCTCCCCCCCCCCCCTCTCTCTCTCTCCTTATACGTGAAATGCTTCCGATTTTTGCTTTATTTTTAGGATTTTCGCCCAGAGCCGCGTAAAATTTCCCGGCACTCTTTTTCCCTCCCCTGATCGTGCTGGATATGTATGTCTTCTTCCTTTTCGCTACAGGTTGTGTAAATGCGCTTGGAAAATCGGTATCGGTATCGGTAAGAGCGCGCTTACGCATCCCCAACGCGACGCGAGGCCCACGCGGGTTATCACAATTATACGGATGATGGAGCGAAAGAGTCAAGAGGAACTTGCAATTCATCTAGATATTATTATTATTATGATACAGTAGAGAGGGATCGTCGTGGTATAGGTACATATGGTGCGTCGAGAGAGTTATGCGACAAAGTAAATACGTCGTGACACGATTTTGTTGTTGCTGCTAGAAAGACCCAGCCAGGCCCGCGGCCTCGACACTAATCCCCCCGCACGTGGCACAGTTCTTCTTTCAACTCTCCATGCATAAACTACTCCCACGATCGTTTTCAACAACAGATAAATCGGTAGTGCGAAACTTACCCCGAAGAGCTCATGGTCCTGTGGCGTTTGGAGGTGGGATCCCAATGTCTCCGACTGGTGATCGGTAGTTGGTTTGTAAAAATCGGCTGGTATACAGGGGGGTCGAAAGCAATGCGAGCTCTCCGACGACCAACTGGCCACGTCAACGAGGATTGCGAGGACGACGTCGACGGCGACGACGATGGTTTTGCGCGTCCGTCGACATGCACGCACCCACAAACACACGCGCGCTCACAAACACTCACTCGCGAGGAGCGCTGATGCTGGGCGGACCGGGATGTGTGTTACAGCTATACGATATTGCCGAACAGTGGCGGACGGTGGCCGCGACAGTCGCGGACTTTGCCTCCTACTCCCCCCCCCCCTTTATGTCTCTTACTTTGCTGAGAGTGAGAGAGAGAGAGACCATCGGTGTTTTATAAATACACACGCGCGCACGCGCTTACGCGGATTAGTAAGATTTTCGCCCCTTCGATTTGGATATGCTATATATACACACATGCGGAGCTTTCCTGGGGAATTCGAGAAACTGCGTGGATGGTTGGATCGAATCTTTTTTTTTTTTTTCATTTTTATTTTCAGCCACTCACTATATATATCCTTACCTTGCGAGTTTGCAGAAATACATAGTTTCCCCCCCCCCCTCTTTTTGCCAATACAATTTTGTTTCTGGTGGGATTATTTTCAGCCGAAAGTTATACTTTTTCGCTGCGGCGAGCATAACACGATCCGCTCTCCGCCTACACTCTGCTGCAATCGCCGAAGAAAATTACTTCAATTGTTCAAGTGCCTACAGACGGAGAGGAAGGAAGGAAGTACTCGGGCTGTTCAACTCGGCACTCTTTTTTTTTTCCCTTTATTCTCAAGATACACAAGCAACTCGCGCCTTTTTTTTTTAAAGCGTACAACTTGGCCATCGCGAATCATTGGCGCGTCACGTCTTGAATTTATTGCATTTTCATTTTCTACATTTTCCAAAGGGTACACATGGTCATAAACAAAAGGCACAAAGGTATATGCGTAAGGAGTTATACATTGAAATCAACGCCGAAACGCCCGGACGGCCTCGTCGAACTCGATCTCGTGCTGGGACTTCTCGACCATGTACGCCGGCAGCGTGATCTTGAGAACCTTATCGTAGACGGGCCGCGTCTCGTCGACAAACTCGTACGGCTCGGCCTCGTCCTTGTTCGTCGCCCTGGCCCTTCTCGCGCCGTCCACACCCTCCGACAGTGGCTCGAGAATCCGCAATAGCTTCCCTCCCGTTGTCGACGACGCGCTCGTCGTTGTGGTCGTTGCTCTGGTCACCGGGAGGAAAGCACTGCCAGCGGGTGTACCGTCGCGGCGGCGCTTCCCGTAGCTCGACCCGGGATCGGTCACGTAAACGCACTCCTCGTTGGTCGAGCCCTTGCCGTCGGAGCACCGGTAGCAGCTCATGCCCGCCCTCGTGCTCTTCTCGCACTTGGACCTGTCCACCTTGTCCATACCCCTGACGATCCTCTCGATCTCGGCGCGGCGCACCTTGGCGTCGTTGAAGCCGCTGTCGACCCGCGAGTCCAGCTTCGGCTTGCCCCTCCCTTCCTGCAACATTAGTTTTTACCCCGAGGCTTTTTTTGTTTCTCATAAAAAAAAGCCACGCTGTTGCGTTTGACTATAAATTTCAGCGCACCTGAGTGTTCTTCTTCGGCACCTTGCCCCGGAGCCCCGCGCCCGGATCGGCGTTGTAGATGACCGGGGCGCCCGAGCTCCCCTCTGGCTGCTCCTCCTCCTCGCTGCTACCCACGGAGCCGTAGTAACCAGCGTCGTCTTCATCATCGTCTCCCCCCCCACCGCCGGGAGTGCCGAACGACTTGGAGCTGCTGTAGGCGTACACCTTGTCCGCGGGATCGTACGAGTAGCTGCACCTCTCGTAGTCCCCCCCGGTCTTTGGATCCTTGCACACGGTGCACAGCATGCCGTCCCTATCTACCTGCTCGCACTCGCCCTCGCCCCTGACCTGCTCCGACCTCACCTCCGACTCCGACTTTTCCTCCTCGCTGTAGCCAGCGCCGTACTCCTCCGCGCTACCTGCAGGACCCGACTCGCACCTTTCCGACTCGGTGCCGGTTCTCGGCTCGATGCACACCCTGCAGCTCCGGCCGTCCCTGCGCCTCACGCTCCTGCACCTCCTCTGGCTCTCCTCCGCCTCCTCCGGCTCCTCGTGCCTGTAGTGCAGGTGGCCCACCTCCCCCCGCTCGTCCTCGTCCTCGTCCCGCGTCTTTTTCCGCTGCTGGTACGACGAGTAGGCCTTGGGCCGAGCCTCGTAGGAGCACCGCTCGTACAGGTCGCTGTGGCCCGTGGGCTCCCTGCACACGGTGCACAGGGTGCCGTCGTCCCTCTCGACTCGCTCGCAGGGCCCGCTCCCCCCGGGCTCCGAGGCCTCCGGGCGAAAGTAGTCCACATCCCCGTACACCGATTCCCGGTCCTTGCGACTCGGGTCGTCTTTGTTGGGCTTCTTCTTCCTCTTCCTCGGCCCCGTCGAGCAGTGCTCGTAACTGGAGCCGTTATCGGGGTCCTTGCACCGGTAGCACCTCATGGCCGGGCTCGGCTCGCTCGCCCCGGTCCTCGACTCTTTGGCCGGGATCTCCTGGCAGTTGTAGTTGCCCTTGGCTTGCCGGTGGGGACGCTCCCCGTGGAAAATCGGCAGCGCGAGGGAGCCGTCGTGGTAGCCAAAGTACGGGAAATCGGCCCCGGTCGTCATTAGCACGAGGCTCAGCGACAGCAGCACAATGGGTACCTGTAACACAACGGTTGGGTCTCATGTATATGTATACTTACGATATCTTTGTTCGTCGTGTCGCGCGTCCTTACCTTGTGGAGCCCCGCCATACTGGAAAATCCCCTCGAGCTCCGCGAGCCGTCCTCACTCGGGAAAGTGAATCGCCCTCGCGGCGAGCCGTACCTTTATACGCCTGCCCTCCTTCCCACCCGCGTCTTTGATTCCGCGTTGTTTGGGCCACGTCCGGTCGTTTCGCTTCGCAACCGCGAAAACCTCGAGCCTTTTTTTTCTCCCCTCCCCCCTCCCCCGTTCACACCACCTCGATATGATGCAGTCGTAAGAGAAATTTGTGGACCAGGGAGGGGAATTCCAATGCCGGTGGGGCTTTCTTTTGATTTTTATGTCGCTCCCATCGGTGAAAGTACATCGATCCTCCGTAGGATATCGATCCGTGCGGACATGAGCGCTTACGTATAACACACGGCGCTTGGGGGGTGGCGAGCAAAAAATTTGTATATATATTCCAACAATGCAGGTGACAACGCGGCGTCACGGCTGATCTGCTCCCTTCTGCAGGGGGCCCAGAGAGAGAGAAAGACAAATTACCTCATCCCTCTCTCTCTCTCTCTCTTCACACTCTTTGATTTTCGCGCAACAACTGTCTCGGGAATATATAAATATATATACGTGCGAGTATGAATGACAAAACAAAAAACCAGCCTGTGGGGTTCAGCTCTTGTATATATATATATATATATATATATAGGTACCTTTCTTCATCGGTGCTCTGGACTTTTTCTTCCTCCTCCGAATCACGCTTCCTCGTTTCCTGATGCGGGATGATGAGGTAACGCAAGCAAAGTACGATTTTTTTTTTTTTTTTTTTTTTTTTTTCCATACGGTTTTTATTATTAAACCACAAAAATTTTGACAAATTACAGGATTACATTACATTTGCATTATTAAGTATCATACCATTATGTACACAGGTGATTGGTAAATATACACGTGTATGCATATGGTGAGAAAGATCATCGTGCGCGAGTGTATAGGTTAATATATACGTGCGATTCCTTACTTATAATCAATTCTTTGGTTCCGTGCTGCAAACATGAATATGTATAACGTACACATAACATGGATGTGAATCATAATGAATATATGTATATTTATATATGTATGTATGTATGTATGTATGTCAATATCCCCTTGCGTACAAAAAAAAAAGAAAAAAAAAAGAAATGATAGTGCTTATATGTAGAATTATAAAATGATGGCAGCAACAACAACAACAAAGAAAAAGGCAACGTCATGTTATATAGGCAACAGTGGCTGAATATTGTGCGGTATATGCGTGTTCAACACCCAATCAATCCTTGAAGGGAAACGGATCTCTGGGATAGACGGATATGTGCGATATCTTGGGCTGTTTGGATCCCAGGGATTTGCCGTCGAAGGCGAAAGTCGGCGCGGGCTTGAGTTGCAGCCTCGAGGCCAACTTTTGTATCATCATCTGATCACTTTCCGTTATCGATCCCTTGAACTTTTCGCGCGACCTCATATGCTCCTGCGGCTCCAGCTTGGCGTTCCGTCGCCGGTAGTAGAACACCTCCCCGGCCAGCGTTAACATGGCCAGGAGCAGACCCACCAGCGTCGCTATGAATACTCCGCCTTTTTTTTGTTTTTTTGTTTTTGTTTTTTTTGTTTTTTTTTTTTTTTTTTTCGTTTTTGTTTTATTGTTGTTTTTTTTTGTTTGTTGTTGTTTGTTGTTGTTGTTGTTTGTTGTTGTT